TCGCAACCCACCCTGTAGAGAGAGATAGAGAGAAAGAATTCAGTAAAAGATAAACTAAATAAATCAATGAATCGATGACAAGTTAAATGTTACCTGATCTTGTGTTGGTATTAATGGTGTTGTGCCCTTGGAATTGAGCAACAAATAGAAAAGAGTTTTAAATTCCTGAAAAATTCAACTTGCCATCTCTGTTAGTGTTGAGCTCCTAGAAGGGGATCCTTTAAGAGCTGCCATAATAAAACTGCTGGTATTTGATGAGGGTTATTGTCCCATCACCATCTAAATCCATTGCTTCAAAATCTTCTCATGCCTTATCCTTTTGCTCCTCTTACAAATTATCAAAACAAGCTAAAGCAACCTCCCGTGTTTCTTCCATCTCCAGAAGCTATTAGAGAGAGAGAAAGAGAGAGAGAGAGAGATTTTTCACAGTTTTAATTTTTAATTTTTTTAAGTAATTAATTTTTTATTAATTTGTTTTATCCATGCTGGAGGTGGGCTCCACTTTGCCACATTACCCACTCAAATTTGTGAATAAAAAATCTAGGTGCACAAAATTACTAAAATACCTCTGCCACGTCATCAAACTTAACGGACTTTTGGATGGAATTGACGGTAGAGGGCAATGTGGAACATCAAACCTGGTCAATGGGGCAAAGTAGGTCATTTTAACTTCAAAGGGGTAAGTGAGAATTGACCAATGTTTCAAAGTTCACTGTAGCAATTAAACCTAATTAAATAATATAGCCGAATACTTCAATTTTTAATTTTTTTTAAATAGTATAGGCCAGCGGCGATAAGCTTAAAATATAATATAATTAAATAGCATAGCTGATCGGCTATACTTCGGTTTTTTTCTAAATTTTTCTAATAAATAGTATAGCTTGGGGTTTTTTTATTAAAACTTTTTTAATAAATAGTATAGTCTTGCGGCTATACTGGTTTTTTTTTAAATTTATTTTTATATATAAATAATTTCCTTAAATTTCATTTATCAATAAGTGTAGTTTAGAAAATACACGCTTTAAAAAAAGCAAACATACAATAATCGTATTGTACACGTATGTATTTTTCATATTTAATACACGTATTTTTTTACAAAATTTTCTATAATACACAAAATTAACGTACTATACACATAATTTTTACATATTATTGAATAAAAATAAGATATAAGATAATTTTTACATAATTTTTACATATTCATGAGATGTGGTAGTATTCTTCATGTAAAGTGTTGTTTGAAAAGTGAAGCAATTGCCAAGAACACTCCAACTCAGCATGCAATTATCTATGATAGATAATGTGTCAGTAACATAATTTAGTAGCACTCAAGAGTAGATCAAAGGCAAACATTCCCACAAAAAAAGAAAAAGAAAAAATTGAACTCTCAGATTGATTTACTGTGAAATTTCTCTCTCTTCAATATCAACTTGGGATATTTTGAAACTAGCAAATTAATATCTATACAGTATAAACTAATGCAACTAAGAGGGTCCTTATTTAATTTTATTTCCAAGACATGCTTCAAATTATAAGTGATATGACAGAAAATACAACCATAATAATAAGGCAATACAACAATATTGCCTTCTTATTGTGGTTGTATTGCCTCTTGTTGAGGCCCAAAAAATCCACAGCTTGGCCCAAATATATTCTCAGCCCAATGCGATACCTTACTGAGAAGAAACCTGATTTGGGCAAGCGAAAGTTCGTCATATGCACTTGCATACGTGCCATGCCAAGCAAATAACGCTACAAGCTTAAGTGAGCCCAAGCCACGGGAATGCTCGGGGCTTGCTTGAGTGGGTTGTGGTATGGATGGTAATGAATTATCATGAGGCACATTGATGGGCCGAGAAATGAAAGTCCCGGGTTGCTTGGGAGTCTCGGAACTCAAGCTAATTTCTTAGGCCCAAACATGTGGGTGAGCACAAAGAGAGAAAATTAGCCTATTAACTCAACCAAAATAGTCCAACTCTTGATAAGGTTAGCCCATTTACTTGATAAACCAATTTATTGACCTAGAAGGCCCAAGCAACCTAAGAAAATATCTGCAAAATCTCCAGCATCTAGCTGAAAACAAAAGCCACGATGAAAGCCAAAATATCCTTATGTGTAAGCCACTGGGAGGCTCTAGCACATGGGGAGGAACAAGTTTCAAGCAAAAATATCCGAAGAACCAAGAGATATTAGCGCGCAAACTGCCAGAAGGAGAGGCACCATTTGAACCAGCATATATATCCATTTTCTTTCCTTCATCAGATCTAGCCATGGAAGGAGGAAGGAAAGAAATAGGGAAATAGTTGAAAATGAGAGTCTACCACTAAAACAATTGCAGGAAAGGGGCCTTGAGCTCCCAAAAATTTCTGATTTTGTACAAATGGGCAGAGTGAATTTCACCAAAATAGGATGATTGAAGGGATGAGGGGTGAAAGGAAGGGAAATACTTGGCCAAATTAGATAGAAGCCATTAGGATTTCTTGGAAAATGATAGCTTCTAGCGGCTATAAAAGAGGCCTCTTCTACCCAATAAGCAACACACACATTCAGAGAGCAAGCTTCATCTCTCATATCTGAAACCTCTGGAATTTCAAACTTCATCCTTCCATCTCTCCTCATTTTCCCTTTTGGTAAACATTTCCAAAGTTTGACAGAGTTTTTCGTTGAGCTGCCGGAATCTACCTAGCACACCCACTACTTCATCACTAGTTAAAACAACCATATCCAGATAGCAAGCTTCCTTTCTTACCTGCAAAACCCAGCAAATTCGTGCTCTATTCATCCTTTTCCCCCATGAACACTTACTTTTCTCTTCAGTGCTAAACTCATGACAATTTTGCTCACATGCCACAAGCCTCTCATGCCAAATTAAAAAATCTGTCTGTAAGCTGTTGTTATTTTTGTTGGTGAAGGTAACCAAGGTGTTTCCTAAGGCCCTACTGTTCTTTCGAAGCATTCTTGGGGCTTGATCTTAGAACTCAGGCTCAATGGGCAATTTCATCCATTTTGCTATTTACGGCAGCCCAGTATCACCTTTTTTCTTTTCAAGTCTTTCTTGGAAATTTTTTGCTCGGTTTCAGACAAGTAAATGGTTCTGTTTCAAATAAAAATTTAAAGTTCATCAATGCCAATTCACCATTTCCAGAACAAATATCACAAATTGGGTTTGCCAAACCTGTTGGTGGTGGTTAGTGGTATGGATGAGGAAGATGGGTCTTTGGACTCCTGAAAAGAAGAATATTGAGAATTAGGGCTGAGTATCAATGAAAAGGAGGAGATACAAAATTGGGGTTTCATATCATATAGAGCATAGCAGGGATGAAGAAGAAGCAAAGAAAAAAGCAATTTGGGGTGCCATTTCAAAAAGAGCTGAGCTGAGAAGAAGAAGCAGCAAAAAAAGAAGAAGCAAAATTTAGAGAGAGAGAGAGAGAGAGAAGAGACCAATTTCACATGACAAAAAATAGTGATAAAAAAATGGGGCGTCATTTCAATGCCAATTTTATAGAGGGTATTTTTGAATGAGTTTCTAAAAAAAGGCATTATTGAATAAAACATTGAAACCGGGGACAAAGCCGCGTATTTTCCAAAAAAATTTGTGATTCCATGTAAAAATCCGTAATCAAATACTCCCTATTCCACTTTTTTATCCCCTTTATTCTTAGAGTTCTCCAATTTATGGCGAGTTGAAGAATCCCTCCATCAAAGAGATCTATAAGCTGCCCAATGTTGTACAATTTTGATTTTATTTATGATTATTCCTTGTTATTTTATAATAAAAAAATATTTTTATTTTTTGAATTTGAAAAAGAACAGAAAAAACTCGATTATGACAGGCATAACTGTAAAAGCGTAACGACACTACCCGCTAAGGCTAGTTTCTTCTCATAGCTGCTAGTTTCTTCTCATTGCTTCCTCTCCACTTGCATGGAACAGGGAGATACCATACGCCACTCCACCACTCCACCTCTACAAAAATCTCCTCCCCTTCTCCACCAAATTACACATCTGCCACTTTGTTCCACACTGTAACTCAGCCATGGCTTCTCTGCAAACCCGTCATTACAATTTTCAATTCCACCGTTGTGTCTCCTCTCTCTCCCCAAAGCTCCACAGCCTCCAAAACCCCAAGCTTTCACTGCGCTTTCCCATCTCATTTTCCGGGAAAGTTAGGGTAACTTTTAGAGGAAATGGGAAGGGCAGAGATGGAATTTACTCGCTTTGCTGCTTATGCAGAGCTGGTTCTGAGGTTGAGAAGGTTTCTGCTGAGGAAGGAAATGAAAGGCCTCCTTTTGATATCAATTTGGCCGTGGTTCTTGCCGGTTTTGCATTCGAGGCCTATATCAGCCCTCCTGTAAATGTTTCTCAACTGAAATTCCTTTTTGTTTTCTTTAGGGTCATATTGAATTGTTTGCTTTCTTAAAAAATTGCGGAAAAGGAAAGAAATTTAGCTGTGAACTTGACTGGTATTTGGTTCCTGAAGCTTTGTTTAGTTACCGAGGAAGTGTGTGAAAACTAAGCTTTTTTGGGATCCTGATGGTGGATTACCTTAAGCGTTTTAGTTTCAAATTAATTTGATTTTTGTTGGATTTTTTTATTTTTTATTTTGGTTTAGGATAATATTGGGAGGCGAGAAGTTGATGCTGCAGATTGTAAGACACTGTATCTTTCAGAGTATGCATTCAGTTCCTTATCAGATACTTCTTATTTTTAGTTGTATGCATTTAGTTATACAGTTATACTGATTCATGTTTCTAGGGAAAAGTTACTAAAAAGCTGATAAATTTGTAACTTTTATGACCAGTTACAAAATGCTTTTTGTGTACGCAGGTCATTTGTACGTGAGATCTATGATGGCGAATTGTCAGTTAAACTGAAAAACGGTCTCAACTTACCTGCCATGGATCCATGGGTTGGTTATTCGTTTCAACCTTTTCTGTATTACGGATTACAGTGATTAATTACTACTGTAGGCTTCTGTATTCTTTTATACATGTAATTCACATTTCTTATTTGTTTCTTTTTTTCCTTTTAGTTTTTGCTTTTTTATTTGACATTTGATGTGCTTTTAGGGAACAAGTGATCCATATGTGGTCATGCAATTAGATGGTCAAGTTGTCAAAAGCAAGGTTAAATGGGGGTAAGGTTTGCGACTTTACTTTCATATGTAATTTTAAATCTTTGATCCCCTTCCACAGATTAAAGAGAATGATTATCTTTATGGTTCACTAACAAAGCTTGCTTAAAGACTTCTGTGATGCCTTAGATTTTAATATAATGATCTTGCTCTTGTTTCACTTGAAATAACAAATTTACTTGGATCTCTTCTAAGGTGTAGCAACACCCAAAACTCGAGAGTTAAAACCTAATTCTAAGCCCAAAAAAGGCACATTTTGCGTTAAATGAAGTGTCAACTGATTGGCCGTGCTTGCTGATCAATTGACAAGCACAAGTGGTGCTCATAGTGTCCAGTCGAACAGTAGAGGAGCGGACTCTGTATATATATACACACAATTTATAGCTCTTCAATCTGTATATGTGTCATAATTCTTTTTGTTGTCATCTTCTCATTCTATGCAAAGTTTAACTTTATTTTTATGGTTAGTTATGTTTTTCACACACTTGTATATTAGTTAGTGCTTGTTAGAATTGGTAGAGTTGGAAAACTTTCTTATTAATTGATTAATTTCTGTTTGCTGATAATGAATCTTTTGTTTCTGACTGCCTCTTTATGTAGGAAAAGTATCATAGAAACTTAAATATGTGAGATATCTAAAACGTATTGCATGTTGCCTTCATGACAGATAACGTAAACATATCATCATAAAAATTTCAGTGGATCCACAAATTTCATGGACATTTGCCTTAATTCAACTCATAAGCTTGATTTTATTTACAAATAATGTAATGGCTGCAGGACGAAAGAGCCAACATGGAACGAGAACTTCAGTTTCAATATCAAGCAGCCTCCGACCATAAATCTGCAGGTCAACATGTATTCTTACATTATCTGTACTCTATTACTTCCCATACAGAAAGCTCTTGCCTATAATTTCATTTATGTTCTTCAGTTTTCTGTGTTGAAAATCAGGAAACAGTTGCAGAAAAAAAAAATTTGAAAAATTGAAAAGACCCCTTCCTTAAAATTGACTGCAGTCATTCTGCAACAAAATGTTTTCATCTCTCTGTATGTGAAGGGAAATAATTATCTTGTTTCTAATAACTGTTTGTGAATGGATATCTCCTCTTTCCAGGGCCAGTTATCTACAATATTACTGATGTTTTTAACTTTTTACTCTTGAAGATTAAGTTCCTTTCATAAGTACTGCTACATTCTTGGCATGTTAGCTCCCTTTTTAAGATGTCAATCATATCCTGTTCTCCAAAGTTTCCTGTTACCCGGAATGCAGACCTGTTATCATCTGACCTTATGAGCATGATTAAGAATGAGAAAAAAATAAACGTTCTGAAGAATTAATTGGTCATTTATAGCTTTCTGTTTTCCCAGCCTATGAATGAAGAACCATATGTTGTACTTAGTTATCTGCATTCAGCATTGTTGTTCTTATTCTTGCTATTGTAATAATCATATTGATCTTGTATTGCCTAAGAATACTTTCAGAGGGAAGAGATGTCAACTTCTAATGTTATAAAATGATATGTTAATTATCCAATTATTGTTAGTGTTATTTTCAAGTTGCTTCATAGCTTCTAAGTTCCTAATATCTGGCATCAATTTTTAGGTAGCAGCTTGGGATGCAAACCTAGTAACTCCACATAAACGAATGGGGAATGCAGGCATCAGTCTGGAAGGCCTTTGTGATGGTAAAAATCAAATCAATTATTGTTAGTGAGGCTGTATAATTTTACTTTTCAAAATGATTAACATATGTGTATTTTTCTAGGAAATTCGCATGATGTACTGGTGGAATTGGAAGGAATGGGAGGTGGTGGAAAGTTACACCTCGAGGTACGTTTTCCTGGTGAAATGTAATTTTGGTATAGGTAGATGGTTCCAGAGTGTTGCATTGTCTCCTGTTGTTGTGAGAATACACCTTACAATTTGGGATCTCATGTATAACAAAAAATTACTATGTGTTCTGTATAAACCTACTATAGCTCGTCTTGTATGCGTATATGCCAATACAAGTCACCATGAGAAAGTTCCATTCACTTCAAGTCTTTTTCTTGCCAAAAGATCTCAGATGTGTTGCAGGATTTCTGGGAAGGAAAGAGACTGTTCTATTTCTTGGAATGCCTTCATTTGGGTGCCCTTTCCCTTGTACATTTTCTTAACGTTTGATTCTCAGGAAATGCAACCTTGAGTAGCCTTTTTCCTTTCAGAGAAAAAAGGAAATTTTTATTATTAAAAAAAAAAAAAAAAAAATTTAAAAAGAAATCACCAGAATTTTGGGTGTTTTACATTCTCCTTATACAGAGGGATGCTTACAAGTTGTCAGTTCTTTCAGTGACTTAAATTGATGCTTAATCTTCTTGTTTTCTTTTATGCTATAGCCTGTATGGTCCTTTTTATTTATCTGCTAATAGTTCTCTGCTTGTAATAAAAGTTTTGTAAATTGTTTATGTGTGGTTCAATTGGGAACTTCTTTCGTATGAAGTTTTGTTATTTCAACTACTGATACTTTAATTCTATTGTTAATCTTAAGCATCTAAGTTTATATTTGCTGTGATGGTCTGTGGACTGGGCCCTGCAATATTATATATGTTCACACTGATTTTCTCTTTTGAAGTAGTGTTCTGTTTGAGTTATAACTGCTAGTGTTGAGCTTTCAGGTCAAATATAAAAGTTTTGATGAAATTGACGAGGGAAAAATGTGGTGGAGGAGGGTCCCCTTTGTTTCTGACTTTCTCCGTAAAACTGGTTTTGAGCCTGCTCTAAAAATGTTTGCTGGCTCTGACACTGTGCAAGCACGTGAATTTGTGGAATATGCTTTTGGGCAGTTAAAGTCATTCAATAATGCCTACCTTTTGAAGAATCTGATTTCAAGTAGTGATGAGAATAACACAGAAGGCACTAGGAAATCTAATAATTCTGCTGATGTGTCAGATGTGCCTTCCCAGATGGAGGGTATAGCAGAAGGTTCTTTAAATAATACAGGCTTCAAAGAAGGGAGCAATTCAGATGATTCCAATGCAGATAATGGTGGTGTGGAGAATGGTTATGCCCCTGAACCCCTGAAACAACTTGGTGAGGAAAGGCAATCAGATAAGAATTTTTGGAGGAACTTTGCCAATGAAATTAATCAAAATGTTGTTGAGAAATTTGGTCTCCCAATTCCAGAGAAACTGAAGTGGGATGGGTTTGATTTATTAAACAAAGTTGGTTTGCAGTCACGAAAGATAGCAGAAGCATCTTATATTGACTCAGGGCTTGCGACTCCAGAAGGGGTAGATGTTGATAATGATAAAATAAGTGGCCCACTTTCTGTTAGCATGATTCAGTCTTCACTTCCAGATATTAAGGAAGCGACAAGGGACCTAGTAAGGCAAACTGATTCTGTTTTAGGAACATTAATGGTTCTAACTGCAGCAGTATCTCAATCAAACAAGGAAGCAAATCTTGCTGGAAGGAGCAAAATTAAAGAAGAGGATACTAGCAATGTAGAAGATGATGCCTTGACATATCCCATCAACGAGAAGCTTGCTAGCTCCCAGGGAGCTGAGGAGATGAAAGAACTCTTTTCTACTGCAGAAAGTGCCATGGAGGCTTGGGCGATGCTTGCTACTTCTATGGGGCATCCAAGTTTTATAAAGTCTGAATTTGAGAAACTATGTTTCTTAGACAATGCGACGACAGACACGCAGGTATGATTTTAATCTTTTGAGAGGACTGAGGAACTTTTTTTTCTAGTTATAGTTCATCTCTAAAATCTGAATAATCATAAAACCTTATATGTGGCAAAAGGCTGTCAATTAATTGTGAGAATATTATTGTGGATGACTAAATTATAGGAAGCTGCAGGTGGCAATTTGGTGTGATTCTTCCCGGAAAAGATTAGTTATCGCTTTCAGGGGAACAGAACAGGTAGGTTATATATTGTTTTTGTTCAAATATGGAGTTCAGGTATGTATCTTCCAGCTCAAAATACCTCTACTCTAATTTTTGCAGGCAAGATGGAAGGACTTGCGAACAGATTTAATGCTAGCTCCTGCTGGGTAACATCTTTATACTTATCAAGTTCTAACTTGTTTATTTGATCGACATTAGTGATTTGTGATCTTTCTTCCTAATTTTCTTTGGAGTCATAATGCATGTAATAAGTGTCCAGACTGGACCAGCCAGTTGAAACATTGAATGATCTGGTTTCAAGTTCGGATTAGTACAGGAAGTCATCCGGATTAGTACAGGATCCATTTTATGTTTAATAACCCACTTGGAAGTTAGACTGCGCGACATTGGTTTGACTGGCAAACCTTTGAACTAGTTGTGGTTGAAGAAAACTTGGTAGTTATTCTCTGACAGAAAAGTATGGTTTGAAAGTTGATTTGGATTCAAACCACAGATCTTAAGAGTAGAAGACAATAAATTAAAGGTTGGGGCTAGCAACACTTGCTGTTATGCTACTGATAGCTTGTATTTAACTATTACATGAATAACTTTAAGACAATTTTGTTTAATTTATGCATGAGACTGACGTCATGGTCCTTTATCTGGGTTGCCAATCAGTTGAGGTTTTAAACGATCTCATATGCATTAAGTTTCTCAATAGTTGTTGATTGATTTGTCTAAATTAATATTCCACAATTTCAGATATGCCCATTAAGTTAAGTATTATACTTTGTAATGTTGGATTCTATACCTCTTTAGGCTAAATCCTGAAAGGATAGGTGGAGACTTCAAGGAAGAAGTTCAAGTAAGCAAAAACAATTCATTCATGGATGAGATGAACAGATTATTGACAAAATCCAATCTTTATGTATTTATTGACGGTGATTAAGTTATTTCAGGTTCACAGTGGTTTCTTAAGTGCATATGATTCTGTCAGGATCAGGATCATCTCTCTCATGAAATTGGCAATTGGTTATATGTAAGTTTTGATTTTTTTTAATCTTTTTATCTTATTTTCTGAGCATGTAGCTACTGTCCTAATCATATACAAGTCAAGCAGCAGATGACAGGTATTATCTAAAAGAATATTTTAGAATCAGTTTGCTTCAGTTAAATACATTAGGCTTGTGGTTCACTAACATTACTTGCATCCTTTATATATGCGCACTGAAGTCCTTTCAATGATAAAATCTTAGAACCTTTAGACTAAACCAGATGTTAATTATTTATTTATTTTGATGTCCATTTATTCTTTGCGATTTTCAAAGTATGGGTTCTCTCCTTTTGGTGTCCATTTTGCATTTGCATCATGGAATTTGATTTTTCAGTTGTCAAAGCAAAAATTAAGTGGTTTTCTGTAACAGTGATGATCTTGCTGAGCCGCTGCACAAATGGCATGTTTATGTTACTGGTCATAGTCTAGGTGGTGCATTATCTACCCTCCTAGCTCTTGAACTTTCATCAAGTCAATTAGCAAAGTGAGTTCATATATTCTACTCAGTGAATTTATTATTCTTCTTTATCGTAGCATAGTAAGTTTGCACGTGAAAGAATGCGTATTCGTGCACAGGCAAATTGTTAACCATAGGTTATGTTGGGCTTTGATTTTAACTTGTACTAATCCAATCTTCTCTTTATGACTGTAAATAGTGTTTCTTTTCACCCATGCTATTTCACCTTTGAAGCCTTTTGGTGTAGAAGTTATTGATCAAAAGAAAAATAAAACCTAGAAATGCTTTGATAGACAACCACCCTGACATATTTCTTTATGAGTTGAATATCCTGAGATGTTAGCAACATAACATAAACCTATCATTCTTATGGTTGCAACAAATGCTTTGATATTGTACATTGAATTTTCTATGTGTATTAGGCGCGGAGTGATTTCTGTGACCATGTATAACTTCGGATCTCCTAGGGTCGGTAACAAAAAATTTGCCGAAGTTTATAATGAGGTAAGATTTTTAATAGTAATTCTTTAGTTGTTTTCCATCGCTTGGCTTTTAATTCTTCATTTGAGTGTTGGGTGATTACCCTCTCATCTTTCTTTTCTATGGCTTCATTATTGTTTCTGCTGCAGTCATCTTGGTTGGAACAATTCATTGGTTTTTACAACAGGCTAATTTCTGGTCTACACTGTAGCTGCTAATCTTGTTAGAGTCTTGCAGAAAATAATTTTCAAATCTAGGATTGTGTTACAATAAAGGAATTTACTCATTAGAATACTCCTCCACTCACTCGTTCTCTCACTATCTATCTAAATATTTACCAGTATATTATATATGTATATATACATGTTAGAGTTTTATGATAGTAAATATGGAACTCTTTAGACTTAAATTTACAGGTATGTTGAAGTCAGATCCACTGTGATATTCAAATTTTCCTCATGAAGTTGAAATAATTATTAAATATGTGAAAGTTTATATGTTGGATGTCACATGTGTATTTGTTTGGTGAATATTTATGCAACATGCAAAACTTACCTCTGCAGAAAGTCAAAGATAGCTGGAGAGTTGTAAACCACAGAGACATTATACCAACAGTCCCCCGCTTGATGGGTTACTGTCATGTAGCTCAACCTGTTTACCTAGCAACAGGAGACCTAAGAAATGCCTTGGTGGGTAGTTCACTGTCAATTCTCCAATTAAACTTCTGACTGTGTGAAACCTAATTCAGGCTTTTTAATTTCTTGATAGATGGACATGGTATATGCTATCTAAATTTATATTTTATGGACAGTGTAAATGTTGTCCTTCTAGCTAATTAATATGATCCTCTAAAACTTGTTGGCGTAGCAGATATATATACATATACATATATATATGTGTGTGTGTGTGTTTATGTGTATATATATATATATATATATATATGTATATAATTATCACATTTTAGAATGGCCGAATTGTCTTTATTTGCTTCAATTCAAAGTCTACTCGTCATCTGAAAGTGAAAGCAGTGTGAAATTGTTTTTATGGTCAGAAAGCACTCTTCTTTCTCTTATACCCAAAATGTCTTCCCCCAGTGTATATGTACAGTAACAAAGTTGCGCCAGTTAGGGTATCCTTAAGTACAGGTTTATTGGCATTTTCCATGGTAAAAATCCTTTTCTCTTTGAGGTTTGACATGCTTCAGAGTCATTTAAGTTCCTTCCCCAGTAAATGCATGGCAGGGGATGATCTAAACTCCCTGCCAAGCTGCATGACTGAACTGATTAATTCATATCACAAGGCATCAACAATTTGAATTCTTATTCCATATCTCTTCAATACTTCAGATGCAATGCTGGACAAAGTTCAATTTATGTGATTTATAACACATTGAAATCCTTGCTGAATGAATACAAAGACTGATACAAAATATAGTACATTTTTACTTAAAGCTGAGCTAATGACTCTATCCAGGACAATATTGAGCTTTCCGGAGATGGTTACCAGGGTGATGTGATTGGGGAGTACACACCAGATGCGATTATCAGTGAATTTGTACGTTTTGCCTCATTTAATCTTTTTCTTTTGGTATTATGTTTGCTTATGGATGTCTAATATCACATTCATATGTCCACATATCTATATCAGTGTTTTCAATTTCGATGCCTGCTGACATGTTTTAATATAGTAGAGAGAGAGAGAGAGAGAGAGAGAGAGAGAGAGAGAACATATTTATAGTCGAAGTCTGATCAGTTCTTCTTGAGCCTTTCTCTAGCATTTATATCTTGGGATGCAACCACTGTTGGGTGCAATGAGGCAGAAGTGAAACTGAAGCTATGTCCCGCTTTACTATTTGTAAAACCAGATTCCAAACAAGATCAGGAAAGAATCAGTCATAAGATCCCAAGAAATGAAAATGAATTATCTTTGTTATGTTCATGATGTGACTAATGCCCCAGCTGCATATAACGATTTTCTTCTTCCAGATAAACCAATGAAAACAATTTTAAAAAGTTGCTATGTTGATTGCATCCTCGCTGTATCTCATCTCACCAGGAGTATATGTAATAATTCTCTAATAAAGATGTCCTTATTTTAGGAAAATTATGTATTACATTGTAACCCATCCCACAAGATGCTGTCATGACTCATGATCTAAATCGTCTAGTTTTTAGGTCTCCTTTTCACGACCATCCTTGTCAAGTAGGATTCAATTTGATGTTAAGATATCTTTTGAATGCCTGCTCCAGTGTGTTTTTCTTTAACAATCTTCCCACTGTTCAAAAAATCATTCTTAATGAGTTAAAGTTTGTCTCCAGATGAAGCTTTTCTGGTTTTTTATCAGAAGTTTGACTAAGGGTGATTTTTTCCTACAGATGAAGGGTGAGATGGAACTTATCGAGAAAATATTAGAGACTGAAATAAATATATTCAGTTCAATTAGAGATGGGACTGCACTTATGCAGCACATGGAGGATTTCTACTACATCACATTGCTAGAGGTACATTCATGAGTCGAACTTATAGATGTTATTTGTTAATTTGTCATATTTTGGTGGTTCAATTTGGTATTTGAGGGAAGTAGGGGCTATTTTAATTCCCTTTATATTATTTCCAAGAGTTGTAATGTCTCCTCATCTCATTGTTAGTTGTTAATTCCATGAGTTGTAAGTTACTATTTGTTGTAATGTCTCGTTATCTTATTGTAAGTTGTTAACCTGTTTTTCTTCTTTCCAGAATGTGAGATCGAATTACCAAGTTGCAGCAGCAAGGGCAGTGTCAGATGAACAAAAAAACATAAAAATTAGCTGAGAATGGCATCCAACAGGACTTAAACATGCCTTTGAACGTTCTTAATTGCCAATGCTTCTAGGCATTGTGCCCGCAACATACCTCCATCAGTCAGGTGCCATATATTTCTCCAAATTGTACATTGTATACAGGATTTTTATGAAATGGAACAACATCAGCAGCCATTTGTAACTCAAAGTTTGTATAGTTTTCTACAAATATCACAAGTCTATTCCCACAAACAATTTTCATAACCATGGTCTACATTAGATTTCTTTAAACTTTTTTATGTTGCCCATGTCACTCTCAATTTCTCTGCTCCGTCTCGTCTCACTCTAAACAAAGCTCATACCCTTTTACGTACACACACCACCTTTCTTGGTTTGACACTGCAATACCAAGCTTAGTTTTCGAATGAAAAAAGGTCTAGTGCCAGGATTGACACCACATTGCAGAGGAGGGAAGGAAATTTCTCAAAAACAGCGGTACCGCATAAATAAAGAAACAAATACAAGAACAGAGACAGACGAAGATTTGCTGTAGACATATATCATCAGTTATATTCATTATACTTGGTATTAAAACCTTCAAGCGAGTTTAAGAATATAGGTAGAGGGTGGCTTTTGCTGTCAAGATATGAACAGTTATCTCCATTATACTAAGCCTTAGTTGTAAGTAGGACTGGGCTCGGTTTGGGTTGGTTTGGTTTTGGGCTCAACCTGAAACCGAATCGTAGGCTTGGTTTGGCTATTTTGAAAACCGAAACCAAACCATAATTGATGAAAACCGACCACTTCAGTTAACCGGACTTGGTGGTTTGGTTTGGTTCGGTTTCGGTTTTTTAGCTTTCTTAGAGAGAGAGAGAGAGAGAGAGAGAGAGAGAGGAAATAAAAGCAATGGAGAGAAGAAGAATAAAAAAAAAAGGGAGAGATGGAGAAAAAGAAGGGAGAGAGAAGAAGAAGAGGGAGACGGGGAGAGAGCGTGAAGACATATATAAAAAGAATGAGAAAATAAAAATAGAGAGAGAGAGAGAGACTGATGAAGACAAGACAAACGGAGAGATCAAGAGAGAAGAAAAAGAAAAGATTGAAACTATGTATTATATATATATATTTCTTATAATAATATTATATATAATATTTTTTAATATCTTCGGTTTGGTTTGGTTAAACCGTGGGTTTGAATATTGCAAACCGTACACCGAACCATATATTTTGGTTTGGTTTGGATTCAAACCGATGACAAAAAAAAATTGAAAAAAAACCAAACCAACCCAACCCATCGGTTTGGTTTGGGCGGGTTGGCCGGGTTTCGAGTCCAAATGCCTAGCCCTCGTTGTAAGAGGTATGCATGCGCATTTTATTTGCCGTCTACGCATGCAAGATGTACGTGCATGCGAGCATGTGCGAAGAAGAAGGGGGTTATCTTAATATACATTACTGGCTCATATCTTAACAGTGGTAGCTCCACAATGAAAAATAATGTTCAAAACATAGCATATCATACAACTATATTAGAACCATTGTGTGATCAAAGAATCGTGAAAGTGTTATCACACATGTCTTAGTATTATTGATCAAAAATGGCAAAATAGTGTTATCCTGGTTTCATGAGAGCCTATAGTTTTAGGCACAAGGGAGATAAGATACACACATGTCAAAAACAGAAGATAAGACACCACTAAGGCTGTGGTCCTGTTGAAAAATTATTCATCTCTGACGCTCCTTAGGCGGAGCCCACGTGTAGAATTCATCGTCTATTATTGTATAATTTCACCAGGTTGTAGCCCATCTATGTACCCTCAGCTGGATTGCCCTTACTCTTATGGCTGGTGATAGGATTTTTAGTACCTGCGCAAACAGGGTTAAAATCACTGAAAATACTTGCAAGAATACAAGGTAGTTGTAGTATAAATGCTCATGCAAGGTCGTTGTCCCCAAAGATTGTTTGACTAATCTGTAATTAAACTAACTCTTAATTAATAACTAAAATAGATTTTATCAAATATTTGAAGTTTATGAATTTGAAAAGATTAAACTAACAGTAAAAGAAATCTGAAAGTTGGGAAATAATAACAGCAAAGAAGAAAAACGATTTCTTTTTAAAGACTAACAATTTAGAGAAAACTAGGGTTTAGCCAACACCGTCGCAATCCTATGCAATTCTATCAATTACTTATGAATTTCCACATATATGCTTTGAAGGTTAGGTTTTCCTA